TGGCTTACAGAATTTCCAGAAGTGCCAAAGAACCAACAACCATGAGTCTCAGCAGTGAAGGAAAAGACAGCAGGCACACCCAGCTATACTCGGAGCTGAGGAGGCTAGCACTGGCAGAGATCCTGCTGCTTGTAGTGATGCTACTATCTGGGCAGAACCTCCAAAGACGAGAGGGCCCAGCTCCTTCAAGATGCTGTCCCACTACTCCCCATGTCTTTCAAATGCTATGCTAAACCAGTTGCAAGGAGTTCAGCCTTCCATTGTCTTTCATTGAGTTAGGTGAGAAGCAAGTATTGAGGAAATGACCACAGGCCCACAAGATATTCCTGGATCACAGGCATAAAGAGCAAAGTAAACACTACTTATATCTGACCCATAACACAGGAAGTAGACATTTCTCCACTTGTAAAATTACATAGTGTATAAGTACGTTTTTCAGTCAGATCATTAGATTAAAATGTAAGATGGCAGATGGGTAATGAAACAAACACAGCACTCAGTTACTGGAAAAATGAAATACATGAGGTTCTTGGAGCTACTGCATTCAGTGCTCTCAGTCTTCATGTAAGGACTCACGCTTACCCAGGGAAGTAATCCTCCATGATAATGTTCCTCTTACGCTATGGAACCAGGGCATGGTGAGCCCAAAGGACTCGGCTAAGAAATGAAGGCCAAGGCTAGAAATAACCCGATTGAAGGCTCTTTAAAGTTATACTTTATCACATCATATTCTACTATACCATAACATTCTGCTAATATGGTTAAAATTTGTATGTCAATGATTATCTTCACCTGAGGAAAGCTTTATGCCATTTTTTTTCTGTCTCAGAAAATACGATAATATAACATTATAGACTACAATGACAAAGATCCACATTTCCCGAAATTTCTATATGCAAATTTGCAACAATAACTCTGTATTACTGTAAGCTTTGCATTTAAAAGAGAACTTAACTTTGATGTATAACAGACAAATTAAATTACATTAAGACGGTAAATCTGTAAGTCATTGTTAAAAAATAGTTTACTTATTTTAAGAAAAGAAAACTTTCCAGTCTTTGATATATGTTCTTACAAACATGAAAATAAAATTCCTTTCCTCAACTGTCCTTTTCCATTTCACACGTATTGATCTTTCCATGTGTTTTAAATAATCATGAAATTAATAGGAAATGTTTTTAATAAATTCAAATCATAGTTCCTTTCATGTCAAAATATTTTGGGGAAGACTGAGGTGAAAAAGCTGCTTAAACATTAGGACAAACTAAGAACAACCAAGAACAGCTTTAGAAGAGAAACTGAAAAGTGACAGAGAGCTAAGAAGGGATCTGCAGGTCAGAGGGGACTCGAAGAGCTTAGAGTATGAAGTGGAAGGAATATGGCCCAGCAAAACCAAACAAGGGAGGAAAGAGATCAGAGACTGTTTTACTAACAAGTTAGCTGTCAATCAATGGAAAAGACACGCCCAGTGGATCCGTAAGGCTTTTCTGTGAATTCTAATATCCTTTTGAATATGTGGCATTTGGCAAAAATACTCAAGATGTTTTGAACTTTCCTTATCCATAAAATAGGGCATGATATTATTCCAAGTGACGTGTGGAGAAGAATCAGTGGGGCATCACACTGCTCCTGGCACAGGGTCTGGCACTGAGGACCAAGGAGACATGAACATCCTTCACCTCCACCTCTACCCCAATATTCCAGGCACAGTGCAGCTGGGCTGAAGAGGCAATAGGAAGACCCTTCATGGGCTGAATGAATAATCTTGCTGTCACACAGAGCTCATAATTGATCATTATTATAAAGGTGCTTATGATCCTAATTAGTCTTGAACTGGTGACAAGATTACTAGCATTGAAAAAAGAATGTAGGACCAGGCATGGTGGTGCAGGTCCTTTATCCTGTCATTTGGGAGGCAGGTAGTTCCCTATGAATTTGAGGCCAGCATAATCTATATAGTGAGTCCCAGGACAGCCGAGGCTACATTGAGACCTTGTTTTAAAAAACTAGGGTGTAGGTGAGGAATCCTTATCATGGAAAAACCCTCCATTTTATGTATTTTTTTTTTTTACAGTCATACACATTACAAACCCAAACTACATCATAGCAAGAGAGAAAGGCTATCTGACAAGGCCATTATGTTGCCTATTAAATAAGTTAGTGAGATAGCTAACACTACTACAAATGTTGTTTTAGAAGTACTACATTTGGCATTCTGGCTGTTTGGCTTACATAACAAATTTGGTATCATATGAGATGCATCCATGCTTTTACATGATTGTACACAAGACCAGAGAGTAATTTATGAGATATATATTTTGTGGGTGATTTTTACATGAGTCTTAGTTACAACAAGCATCATCACATTTGAAAAGGTATCTAATGTCGTAGCACTTGTTTGCACTTCAGCATTTCAACATTTCACTGAGCACTGTGGATACAATCCCAATACTATCAGATTTAGGACAAGCATTTTGTAAAACACCATGCTGCACACACACACTGTCACAGGGTTCTGGCTCTTCTAGCAGTTTTAAAACATATAACTGAGTTGAGCAGACAAGTGTGCCATCCAGAGGCCAAAGGAGAAAACACATCTTGTGTTTTTTCTGTAAAACAAAACTAGTAAAGGGTAAATTAAAATATTAATATTTTAACTTAAATATTTCATGTAATTATTTTTGTAATACAGTATTTAATTATTCATATAATATGTATTTAATTTAAATAGCAAACTCATATTTTGTATTACTTATTTTTAAAGCAAAGGATAGTCTTTAAACTTCTCCCTTTGTAAAAACAAATCCTTTTCACGCCACAATACATGGATGGAAGTGTGGTTCTTTGCAGCTCTCACAGAATGGAAACAAGCTTTGACATGGTACCAGCCACAGGTGCATGGCTTACCAATTAAAAAATTGAATTTAACTGTATTCGCTGTAGCAAATGTTTTCTTTTCTTTTTATAATGAATATAGCATGTGTTTCCAGAAGTACATATAAGTTCTAAAACAACCACCATGATCTATTTAGACATGTGGGCCAAAAAGTTAAATTAATTAACCAGAGACATTTCTTACTTAAATGAGAAAGGTTTCTTTCATTAGACTCTGGGTAAATTTCTTCTGGCAAAGAAATAAAGTTCACTTTAGGGTAATTCTGTTTGGCAGACAGTTGGGGCTTCTAAAATATATAGTAATAACTGTTAAGGTTAAAGTAGAATAGTTAATTCTATTAAAGCTACATAAAAATCCAGGCTCCTACTGGTGGACACAATAGGGTGATTATAGAATAGAGATGTATGATATCCCATTCTGCCCTAATGTCTGCACTGAATGGCCTGCTGCTTCCATTGGGCTGTCTACAAAAGACCACTGTCTTCCTTTAACTGAAAACAGGGTGTACACTGAAATGTGAAGACAATTTTAAATATATAATCTCAATGCCTTTCCTGAATAAAATATTTTACAACAATTCATAAAAACATACTCATCCTACTTTCAGTCTTATTTCACGCGTCCCTGCTTTACTTTCACACCAACACACCGTCAATCAGAATACGATTTTACACTCACATCTCTTATGGGACTTCCTAAAAAACCCATTCTAAGGACAACTACTTTGTGCTGATTTCACTTTTGTTGTTGTTGTCATGTCAGAAAATTCCATAGTTAACTATTATTTCCAAATCATATATTTTCCATGAAGAATCTAATCAAAATACTACTTGAACACAGAGTGCTGTTAAGTCAACCCTCCTACTGTGGTTCCTACGTTTACGGAGCTCATTACTATCTTTGAAGTTGATTCTCTTTCCTGTTTCTACCCACTAATGTACATGCCCTGCACTGCGTCACTCTGTAGGAGGTGCTTCTACCTGCAGGGACAGCTGGGAACAGTTAAGCAGAGAATACAAGTGACTGTACTTAATATCCCTACTTAGACGTCTATTGAAATGAATGAATGAAGCTGTGGGTCCAAACTCAGCTGCTATGATCTCTGTCCTCTAATGCTGCTTAGAGAAAACATGACAAGAACAACTCACTGGAACAGTGGGGTAATGGCTGAAACAAAGCTCTATGATTACAGCTCAAAGCTTGTACTAGGGAAACAGAGAATATGGTGACCACTTCTCCAGCATGGGAAAAATGAGTGTACATTTTAAAGAAAACTAAATAAATACATAAATAAATGTCAAGCTTGCCCCTAAATCTGGTGACCTACACTTAATCCCCAGGACTCATGTGACTGCTGCAAGTTGTCCTCTGACCTCCATACCTGAGCTACACACTGCCTACAGTCCCACACATGAAAGAATGAAAAAACAAAAAAGAAAGAGAGAGAGGGAGGGAGGGAGGGAGGGAGGGAGGGAGGGAGAAGATAATGATAACACTTTTCAAAAGTCCATAATGCCTATCTGGATCACTCTTCCTGTTCTCACAAGTGCGAGGGGACTTCCCAAGAAAGGCAGACCAAATACTGCTCACATCCTATATCCCTAAGTCCAGGATCTACAAAGGGAGCTGTAGCTTTGTGAAGGCCTTGAACCTTTCTGTTCCTACTTAACTAAGTGTCTATTTCTTTGAAAGAAATAAAAGTAACTCCACATCAAGAAATGCCAAGACCCTTAGTTCATAGGAAAATTGCACCTCAAAAAAGAATTCAACTACTAAAACATGAATCTCCACATATTTTTAAGTTGACCAGAACCACAGAGGAAAAGTAGCAGAGATGGTACTTTCAAGTTGACAATAGAGGCAGAGACTGGATCATATGGGTCGCAAAATAAAGTTCAGATTTAGTTAGCACATGCAGACATGATGAGGGGAAGAGGCAGGAATGTGATAGCCCTGGTCAGACTTTTGAAGACCTTAGGTGTGAAGAGTGGAAGTCACTGAGGATTTAAGCATTTCTGGTATATTTTTAGAAGCCCTGATACATATAAAGTGTGACAAGCAGTTTCCCATTATGGCACACCATGATAAAGTAACCACAGGATACCTGGTCCTCGCTGGTTAATCCCAGGTGCATCACAAGGTAAAAATGCACCAGGAAATCAGAGTTTGGCAGAACATCCTGGCGTCTGGTCATCATGGCACAGATCAGTTTGTAGGCTTGCAGTTTGCCTTCTTTATATTCATTTGGCAGAGTTGTAGCCTGCCAAGGAGATGATGTTTCTAGATTAAATCAAGTCCAGATGCAGAGCATTTCAACATTTCATTTACTTCTCAGTTTTCCTGAAGAGTTGTTTGGAGATATGGGATGCGCTGGCTGTAGTAAGACCCAGCCTGTCTTTAAAACATGCAGTCTTGGGCAATTACAGTTTTTAAACTCAATTTCAGAAGGGAAGAGGAAATTGCAATAAAGAGTAAACACTTGCCTTAAATAGCCATGATGCAAACATTCTGAGTGGTGGGATCAAGAGAGGAGGAGATGGAGACGACTGGTTATCCAGGCTTATTGCTAGATTATCTCGTATCTAATTCAAAAGAGAATTAGGCAAGGTAACATTCTACTGTTACAACAACACAGCAGTATTGTCTTGTACAGCCAAGAAACTATTTCCATTTTTTACACACGGAAGAAGAATGTGTAGTATTTACAGGTTCATTTTTTATTATGAGAATTCTTGTCCTTTTAAATTGTGTCTTGCTTACTACATGTAGTTGAAACTTTAAACATAAAAGAATGATACTGTTTTTCTAGCATGTGAACACTGAGGGAGATCCTGAACTCCGAGTGGTAAGAAATGATTTCATAAATTATGCTATATGAATATAAGTCATGTTTTGGAAAAATATTTAATAATGAAAAATGTATACTTAGTATAAAAATAAAAGACAGGATGAAATCTGTATCTATTCTAAAAGTAAACTCTTAGTTTCATAAAATGTTTTTATCCATGGAAATAAATATATTTTACATACTAATATTGTTTACTCCATAAAACAAACATATAAATATCTTCTTCTTGATTTTCTACTTCCAAACTTTATACACTCACAATAGCATCACTTTACTAAAATGAATACTGAAACCACATAGTATCCTATTTTAATGTCGTCTACTAACATACATTTGGACTAAATGAAATAACTCTCAGGGGTTTAGTAAAGTATTAATACTACAGATACTATGATTTACTCTTGAGCAATCAAATATACTTCATCTAAATGTCTAATTTACATTTCAGACTATGGTAAATAGTCTGTATATTAAATGATAAGTGTTAATTTTTCTGGATCAGTATAAAAGGTAACAACAGAACACACCTTGGCCAGTTTGTACCACAGTTCATAGAGATAGCCAAAAACCTTGGCATGGATCTTCGGTGACTGGATGTTATTCACATCTCCAAGGATTCCCAAGACTCTTCGCCATAACACAGCAGCAGAGTCTGGGTGCCATCCAGTGAGATTTCCTCCAGCAATTATGCTACAGTCATCTGCAAGGCATTCTCTGCTGTCTGTAGAGAAAGTGTGGAAGTAAATTTGTCAACATGATCTTAACCTCATCAACAAAGTTTTTTTTTAGCATTGTTGCAAATTACCTGTGCTTAAATTTTATGAATTCTTGGTAAAATATTTAAGATAAAAAACGGTTTAGAATTTGATAGAACAGAAAAAAAGAATCAGTTAAGGTCAAACACTTAATTCTTTCAAACTGAATGCCCAACAAGAAATGATGTACACCTGGGGTAATCATGTGAAGGATTTTATGAAGCAGGCAAGATGAGAGAAATTTTGAGTAGGATGAGTACCATGACAGTAGGTGACCCAGAGTCTTAGGGTACAGAGACATCTGTGTTAGTATGAATGGTTTACTGAGCATAGAGTTTGCATACAAGAAAGACCTCCTTTAGGTCTAAGGAATACATGTAGCCATGTAACAGTCACCAATCATCCTCCAATAACCAGGACAGGGTTCACTTCCATCAGTCTCAAGAGCACCTCTTTGAGTTAGCCCCATTCCTCATCCTAAGCACTTTATACCTGCTGTTTTGTGTTCTGACGGTTCCAGGACTGTTTCTTTTAGTATCTCATATAAATGGGATTCTAGTAGCAGCCTTTCTCCATGGCTTCTTTTACTTAGAAGAACACACTTGAGATTCATCCGTAAGATTGTGTACATTAGGAGTCTGTTCTCTCTGACTGCTGATTAACATTCCATTTTGAGATATCTCATAGTTCATCTCTTCATCTGATGAAGATTAATTAGTTAGATCAGTTCCTATTTTGAGTAACTAGGAATAAAACTACCAGGAACATTCACATGCAGGTGTTTGTGTGAACATATACTGATATTTCTCTTTGGTAAATAACTGGAGTGAGATCCTGGGTTGTATCCTAAGTGTATGTCCAGTATGTATTCAAGTGAAGAAAAGAGACTGAGACCATTTTCTGAAGTGGCATTTCCATAAACCAGCATAGGCAGCATCACCCTGAGTGGAATACAAAAGTGCCACTTGTTCCACAGCCTCACTAGGACATTGTTGTGCCAGTTTCAAGTTTTGTGTCTCTTCTCCTCAGTAAGGGGTGGTATCAGGTGATGTTTTCACTTGCATTTCTCTAATGAGTTAAATATATTAAGTATGTGGTTCATGCCTGGAAAAGTGAGCAGGGAGATTCTGTTACAGTGTGGGTAGCTAATCAAAGCCTGTGTGGGCGAAGGGCCTAGGACAGAGGGACTGTGTTAGCAGTTCAATGCCCAAGCACATCCTCCAACACACAGGTAATTATGAAATGAAATGTTTCATACTCTGAAACAAATGTCTAGTGAATTAAGTGATGTACAGTCACCACTGAAGATGCAGAAATCTGATCTTTGGAAGCCTGTTGCTTTAGGGTGGTTAAAGGTTGAAAAAGACCAAACTGACCAACTCTCAAACTTCCTAAACTCATGAGATTCTGAATTTCATTTGATTTGTCTTTGTTACTTTCTGAAAGTGTAAGTGAAGGAAACAGGTGGGGTGTGGGTGTCTGCATTCACCATGGTAACAGGGAACCAGAAAACCCTCATGGTGGTCCATTCGCAGCACTCAGTCCTCTCCTTCCACCATGTAGATCTTAGGGATCTAACTCAGGTCTTCAGGCTTGAGAGCAAGTGCCTTTTCCTGTTAAGCGCCTTTCCTTGCTGGCCCCTTAAATTGCTTTGATGGCTTATATTTATGTATATATTGGTGGGTGTACACATGCTCATGCTATGACATGTAGAGGTCAGAGGGTAACATTCGGAAATCAGTTTCCTCCTCTTATATACATAGGTCCTGGTGATCAAACTCCCATCATTAGACTTGGCAGGTAGTGTCCTTATCCACTGAGCTATCTTGCCAGGCCACAGATCTATCTGTCTGTCTGCCTGCCTGCCTTCCTTCCTTCCTTCCTTCCTTCCTTTTTTTTTTTTTAAAGAAAATCATTTTTTTTTTGAATGCCAGAAATACATTTAAGGCACCTGAGTACTACTTCATAGCAAAAGTATTTCTCCTACACTCTCTATAGAACAATCAGTAGCTAGCAGCAAAAAAAAAAAAAAAAATAATAATAATAATCACATGGTATTCTCATTTCTTAAGCTTCTCCATTTCTTTTGACAGTGAATACTTCTTCCACATACCCTTTTCTGCCTCCTCACTCCCCTCCTGCCCATTACACACCCACAGAGAGGGGTATTCTCCAGACCTTCAGCAGCCCAGACTTTTCATTCTAGTTTTCAAACTCCCACTCTAGAAACTGCCCAATTCTCACTCTGTGTACAAAAGCTCAGCCCCCACTGTGCTGTAGACCCTCCATTCCACTGCCCTTTTCTTGAATGGATCAAATACAGCATTTCCAGTCCCCAGAAGCAATTGATTTAGGAAATTAGACCTCCACTCTGAAATGCTTCATTTTCTGATCCCCAGGTATGACATGGCCTGGCTTCCCTCTTTTACCAATTCTCCATCTCCTGGACCTTCAAATACTCCAGGGCCCTCAAGGCGTGTCTCTCCTCTCTCCCATTCTCCCTCATCATTCTTTACTCAGTCTCACACCAAATAATGCCACAGATTCAGATGCCATTCACATAGTCACATCTTTAAATACCTATTTTTTCCATTTCTTCAATCAATTCTACACTCCTCTCTAATACAATCTGCTCACACAGGATCCAACCTTTGACTTCACAAATACTAGACCAGCATTCTACCCCTGAGTAAGCCTTCCTGACAGCTCCACATGCTCAGGGCTCAGTGGAAACTTAGTCCATGTAGGTACGATGCCTGCTGAGTTTCCTCATGCTCTGAACACTGGTATTTTGTATTGTAGACTAAAGCTTAAAGGTTACTTATTTTGTATATGCATATTTGTATATGTGTGTGGATTTACAGATGCCATGGTAGACATGTGGAGGTCAGAGAACAGCTTGCAGGACTTGGTTCTTTCCTATGATATGAGTCCTGGATGTTGAACTTAGGAGTGAAGTTGTACTTGCTGAACCAACCAAAAGCCCAGGCTGACCCCCAATTTGCTTTTGTACCTCAGGTTGGACTGAATCTAGCCTCCTAAGCCTCCTGAGTCCTGGGATTACAGAGACATATTTCCATACCTTGTTATAGGATATTTGATCACATTGTGAACCCCAAGATTGTGTTATTTTACTAAAAAAAAAAAAAAATCTGTTTCTAGTAGTGGTGTGGCTAAGCCCTTAGCACACATCTTTAATCTCTCTGGCTGCAATATAGACAGGCTCTTAGTACATACCTTAATTCCAAGTAATGAAGTTAATTTGTAGAAGGAAGCACCATTGTTTGAAAGTGATGTCTAATTGATTGGCAGACAAAGTGACAAATCAGAGTTTGACAGAATAGGATACGCCCAACTCTCAAGAGAAGAGAAAGGAAAGGGAAGGTACTTAAGGGAGCAGTGCAGAGAAAGAAGGCAAAGTTTTACTGGGACAGGTGTCCAGAAACAGATTAGAGAAAGAGGAGTCAGAAGATTAGAACAGATTGCTAAAGTTAGTATGAGGCCAAGCAGAGCAATTTAGCCAGAAACCGGGAGAAGCTAGATTGAATCAGTCAGCTTGGAGAGGAGTCTGAGCCAGAACAGCTGAGTTGAACCAGCCAGCCAAAATTCAGAACGAACTAGAAAGGGTGAGCTTATTCGGCAGCAAGTCTCAGAGGCTGAAAACATTCTAGGCCTAGATAAAACTGTACGGATGCTAGAAACTTCCAGGTCTAGGCCTAGGTTAGCAGAAAGGGGCAGTAAGCCTTCAAGACAACAATTGCTTCAAGAGAATAAGTTACTTTTATAAAACCTAGCTTATGCTTTTTTCTTACTCCTAGAACTCAAACTCTAGGAAATGATTTTCCTAAAAAGCTGTCTGTCTCTTACTGAGCTCTAACCTCTTCTCTAATCTCAGTACTTAGTGTAGTGCTGATCACTGCCAGCAAACACTGTCACCTACTTACTTTATCTTCCATAATCAAGTCAGCAGCTTGTGGGCAGTGATAATTCTTTTTCTTCTTCTTTTTGTTGTTGTTGTTGTTGGTTTGTTGGTTTGTTTTGTATTTTGGGGGGATTTTGTTTGTTTGTTTGTTTTGTTTTTTGGAATCTAACTCACTCTTTACCCTAGACTGACCTAGAACTCACTTTGTAATCCAGGCTAGTCTAGAACTACCAGCACTCTGTGGTAGGCATTTCCCTGCCCAATCTATTTTAAATATTAGTGCAGCAGGAGGTCTGTGATTGGACAGGGAAAAGGGATGTAGAGCTAAGTGTGGGGGGAGAGAGACAGATGGAGAGAGAGGGAGGAGGCAAAAATGGAAGCGGGCATGAAGCCATGTGGCTTTAACTAGCCATAGGTAGATATGATATCAAAGGGTTAGGATAATTGGGATAACTTGTCTAATCTGTTATCTTACCATTATCAATTGGCCTTGAAATTACTGTGTGGGCATCTTGGGATTTGAGTATTTGATGTTATATAAATCTGATTGGTTAACTATAAGCTTTAAGAGTTTTGATTTTTACCAGGTTACTGGGTATTGTGATATCCAACCATGAGGTTGGTGGCCAGTGGAGGCAGTGACCACACCAAAGTTTCAGGGGTCCCGGCCCGGGCCAGTGGGACTGAGATGGCCAGCTGGTGCTGGGCATAGAGCAGGAACCTGGTTGGTGACAGAGTCGGGAAACAGGTCACACTGTCTTTTTTAATACCTCCAACTACAGCATTCCTCTTGCCTCAGCCTCCCAAATGTTGAGATTATAGAATGAAAGCCACTGTGATCAACTACTAATTCCTAAATCAATGCACTGGCTTCCTGTGTTCAGTCCATCACTGCCTCCTATTTATGTGGCCTAACACAGCCATCCCTCCAATCACAATGATTTCAGTCAAGCTGTCAGGGATACTGACAAGAGTCAATGCTGTTTCATCTAGAATGTCCCATCCTCTTTGCTATCTCTAAAAATTGGTTGTTACTACTTTCCC